AAGAAAATGTTTCTTACACAGTGGTAATACAATAACCGCCAGCAATCAGCTGGTGAGTATTCAGAGCTCTTAAAACTGGATAAGAGACAGTAAAAATAATTTTACATAAAATCAATCTAATTACAGAAATTGCTTGAAAACATCTCCTTAACAAGTTCCCAGACAGCCTGATTATATTACTTAACTACAAGTCTGCAAGAAGCCATAGTTCTCGATCAGTCGCTGGTTGATGCCAATAAGAATGCATGTTCAGGTTTTCAGATGCTGCTATGATTTTGGGTGACTAACATATCACGTATTAGAAGCACGAATTTTTATTGAGTAGTTTCTAGTCTCTTTCCAGAAAGTATGCCCATTAAAGGTGTTTCACAGTACAAATTTAAAATGGGAGTTACTTGTGAATATGTTTACTGTGCTGATTAGCACTTGTACAGTTTTTTTTCATCTGTAGACCACAGAGGAGAACTCTACAAAGGTATCCAGGTTTGCCCATTTTCCAGGGTGGAAATGTAAAGGAAAAAATTTTCAGAAGTGTTCACGTCCCGCTTGCCCAACGTCTCGTTGCCAGTCAGTGTGATTTAGGCTCCTTCAGTCTCTTAAAAGACTGGAACTCCTTAGCCATTTAGCATTTCTGAAAACAAGTTTTTAAGAGATGTGTTTAAAACAAAAAGCAAGCCAGTGACTGAAGAGGGACTAGACCCAGATGGGTACCTAGTCTGTTGCCTATCTTCCTTTCACACAATTAGCTTATTATGCCAGAAATTTTGAAAATATTTTAATGAACTTTTTCTTCTTCTTCATGTTGAAAAGACTGACATACAGCTGTGTCACTGTGACAAATCAATAGAAATACACATAAAAACAAAAGGAGAGATGCACTCCCTGTACTTACAGAATTCCCAGGAGAAATGTAACAGGAAGAATACAGTTGCTTGTGAGTCAGCCAAGATTCATGTGTTCGGGGGGTGTTGCTGTTTGTTTTTGGCTAGGCATCCTTAGATGAAGGACGAGAAAAAATTCACAATATTCGGGAAGCGTACCGAAATGAGCTGCTAGAGGCTGAGCGCAGAAAACAAGAAGAGCTGGCAGCTCAGGAAGCAGCCCTGCAAGCAGAGCAAGATGCACTCAAGAAAAAGCTTAAAAAAAATACAGGGAAAAAAAAGTAGTTACTACTTAATTGTATTTCATAGTTTGGGACAGAAAGTTTTATATGCAAAGTTGAGAAATAATGTTATTTTTCAGTATTTTTGTTGACTATCACATTTTATCTCTTTGACTAGTGCTAGTGAAAAAATTGTTCTAGTATTACTCTTTTTGACAAAGTGTTCAGTAATTTACTTCTCATGAATGTACTCACTACTATTAGAGTTTGTATGTTGTACTGGAATAAAATTTTGCAGCGAAAATTCATATTCCATTCAGATTCTTCTCCCAAAATCAGTGTCTCTCATCCTCTTTTTCCAATTAAAACGGAACCAGTCAAGAATTAATAAGAGTTGAAACAGTGAATGTAACCTATCAGTTTTGAAGTCATTTAACTTGGCAGAAACATGAGCTCTTTAAGTGGATGACAGTTATGAAGTTTATAATAATTAAATAGTGGCATACGACACTTCTCATATGTGGGCATTGGAAGGCTTCCCAAAGCCTGGTTCTGTAGGCACTTACAAGCTTTTTGTGAACTATAATATTTTTCCCTTTCATCCTTCTCCTGAGTGTTTTTGAATCTCCCAGTAACTCTGTACAGTGGCAAACTCATGGCACAGCTTTCAAGGCTTGTTGAATACTCCTTTAAAACCCTATTACTTTTTGTTTAGCTTTCCTAAGCTATATTTTGCCATGGTGGCTTTGCTCAAAGGGCTTACAATAGACCCTTGGTTCTTAGACCCTCAACTGGAATTTAAAAATGTTTTTTAATGCTAGAACCAGTGTGTGAATGAAGCTCTTGCTTCTCTAAGCATAGAATTCTTATTATTTTGGGATATAGTAATCAAACACAAAAATACATGCATTCATACTGAATAGCTAGCACTCTGTACTTGGAGACAATTGGCAAAACTCTTACAATGATGAAGACTATCTTCAGACCATATAGTCACAAGCAGAAGCTTGAGAAGTTAGACTGTGTACATACTGTGTATATTCAATGTGTCCAGGATGTCCAAAAGCATTTCATTATCTAGGCAACATGAGAAACCGGGAGACTCACCTATATAATGCAAATCACAGAAATGTTACCTGTTGCATTCAGGCTGCTGATACTGGCTAGCGAGTGCATTTGAAACTAGCCTTTCTTCTGCACCTTAATGACAGGCCAGATGTTCTGCTTCTGATGGTTTTACTCACCTCTGTTTTATCAGTACCTTGCTGCCTGGCTTGAACTTCACTCACTCCTCTCTGCCTTCTGTGGTGTCTGTTCTTTGTACATCATCACACCTACACACCTGCTGTGATGCCTCTGCCTCCATTTGGCCTCCTTCCTTGCACACAACATAAACAAAACTAACTGACCTGAGCTTTTGTGTTTGAAAAGTAGGAATTGAAACCAGAGTCCTACAACTGCATTGGTAATTTTGATTTCCAAATGCAGGAGCTAAGTTTTGCTTTGACCCATATAGGCTGCAAATAAGAAGTCTATTGGTCTTGTGCTGTAATTGCTCTTTGTCCTCTCTATTTTGGAATATGGGCTCTACTGCTTCATAATATTCCATCTTGTTTCCATGGCAATAGCACGTGTTGGTTGTCTTCTTATGTGAATCTCTAATGAGCTTCTGCAGAGGAAGATCAAGCTGAAGTTCTGTTCTTGATGTCACTGCAAGCACTATAATGACATTCTGTTGTAAAAATCAATCCAATTCCAAAAGCCAGAATAATCGACATCTAAATGTCAAAAATTCAGCTAATAACCTGCATGATCACAACCCGTCCCCACATGTAATCAGCTATAAAAACTGACTTAAACTCAGACACAATGTACTTGGATCCACATTATCAAATCTAGTTGTCATGTTATACACAATCCCAAGTTTCATAGTTTTCTCATTTTAAGATTCAGTAGGGGCATAAGGACAAGCTTGAAATTATGTGCTTTCTTATTCAGTAAGGAACTTCAGCAAAGGACTGAAATGGGGGGTCAAGCTCTTTACAGAACAGAAGAGAACAGATACGGAAGTTTTCTGAGTCACGAGATAATTGCTTGATCTTCTAAGATGATAGTTGGTTTGGAGGTGCAATAGGGGGATGGCTATGCATCAAAGCATGTTTTACCAGGTATCTGGTGGCTTAAAGTCACAGGAGAGAGGGTTTGGATTTGGGGGAGTGGGAGGAGGGGTTGAACAGTTGCCTTCTAACGTTTCTTATAGAAAATCATCCCTGAGAAAGTTTTCATAGTCACTTATACAGCCTCTAATTTTTGTTCGTTGAAGGACTCTGTACATGAAGAACAGCACACATAGCTATGTTGATCTCTAAATGATGCCATTTAGTTGTCTTGTGACTTGGACAATTGCGTACTTATCCCCTGAAATGCAGAGTCTTACTCCAGAAGAAGAATATAGCAATAGCCATTTCTGTACGAAGATGAAGAGGTTGGGTTACTCCAACAGCTCAGAAATCCTGATCTGTCTCTGGCAGAATGTTACGTGCTTCTTACAGAGCCAGTCTACAATACTCTGGTAATATTTTGTGTTTGTGTGATTCCCCACATCTTAAGTACCTCCAACTCATATACATACACAAATGTACATATACGTATGCAGCTCCTATACAAAGCTAATTCAAATCTCTGCATTTAAAATGCTGTCGAACAGTCTCTTAGTATGCAATCATTGCTGAGGACTTGCACAAAGAGAAGCAGTTTCAGAAACCAGCACCGTTGCACATGAAACGAGCCTGGCTTTCTTCCTGTGGACCACTTACACAGTTTGAGAGACCTGATGAGCTCAGAGCTTAGGGTAATACTGGAAATATTTTACAATTATACTTTGTGATTGGCTGGAATTTTAAATAAAGATTTAGAGATTCTTTAGAGCAGGGGGGCATCTTTCAGAGCATCTTTAAGGTTGAGCTGTATTCTGTAGTGGTAAAATAAAAATCATTTGTTTCCTGTATTGATTCCTGATACTCGTTTCTCTTTCATATGAGGAATATCCAGTTAGTTATAAAAAGGGAAATGTCACTGTTCAGCAGAAGTTTTGAAAAGTTTTGATGGAAACTGCAAATGCCAAATGAGAATGAAAACTTGAACACTTGAAGACTGCATTATGACTAATCCCTAAAGAATTTCTTGGAGTTTGCTTCCTTTACTTCTACATTTTAGGAAAAATGGCAGTATTCACCAAGCGGTGCAGGCACCTGAGAAAGAAATAAAGTCTTTGGCTTGATAGTTCAGTTTAACAGGGATTAATTCTGTGAAGAGTTAATCACTTCAAATAATTCTTTGTAGGTGTGTTCTGCCAAGCTTTAGCAGTTTTCACTGCTTGATCCTTTTCTTTTGACCAGCCATTATGAGCTATAAAGGATCTTTTACATTAAAATACGTATCTAAAGTTACTTTTTAACGCAAGTAGCTTCATTAATTTTCAAATGACTTGTCCCATCTGCTTTGCTTTAATTTGGCTGGCATTTCCACAATGAGTTACAGACCAAAAACCAGATCAAGCCCGTTCCAGGATGCCTCGCTGCTGAGACAAGCAATGTGCTGTGAAATCAGGCTCAGTACTGAGCTGCCAGTCTGCTCACCCCAGCATTGTGCAATTTACCAGCTCTGTCATTTTAATTCAAGGAAGAGACACAGCATTTATGCACATGCACAGCATTTCCCCTCCAAAAGGCAAGAAAAGTGTCTACATATTTTGTCTGGCAGAAAACATAAGAGAACAGCTTTGCATAATCACACAGCAGTTTGCAGAATGAAAGAAATCTCACATTCAGAGCCCTTTTTTCTCATTCATTTCTTGAATCTGCCCTAATAGATTCAATATCCAGGTAATGTTTCAATGACTTAAATATCCTTGTTACTTGCAGAAAAACAAGATTATGTTGTTCTCCATCCCAAAGGAGGACAAAGACAGGAAAGAATCATGGAATCATAGGTTCAGTTAGGTTAGAAAAGACCTTCAAGATCATCAAGTCCAACCTTTACTCCAGGACTGCCAAGACCACCACTAAACCACATCACTAAGGGCCTCATCTACATGGTTTTAGAACACTTCCAGGGATGGTGACTCCGCCACTTCCCTATGCAGCCTGTTCCAATACCTGATCACCCTCTCTGTGAAGAAAATTTTCCTAATTCCATCCTAAACTTCCCAATGTGCAGCTTGATGCTGTTACCTCTTGTCCTATCACTCGTTACTTGATGGAAGAAACCAGCCACTTCCTTTCTCCATCCTCCTTTCAGGTAGTTGTTGAGAGCAGTAAGGTTTCCCCTGAGGCTTCTCTTCTCCAGACTAAACGACCCCAGTTCCCTCAGCTGTTCCTCATAAGACTTGTGCTCTAGACTCTTCACCAGCTTTGTTGCCCTCCTCTGGATACAGTCCAGCACCTCAGTATCTCTCTTGTAATGAGGGGCAAATAGAAAGTCAGGGAAGGAAATAGTCTGCATCGTATGAAGTGAGACAATAGCACAAGAGCAAGGTGTCTTGAAGATGCTACTAGCCAAAATCAGAGAAGAAGAGACAGGGTGGTCAGGTAGGACTCAGGAGCTTTGATTTCTGTGTCAGTAAGAATGTAGTTAGGGACAGTAGTTCAGGGATAGTCAGTCTAATCTGAGAATGAGGTGACATACAAATGTAGCCAAGATGTGTGACTTTGGGTCAGGTCTGGGTGCACACTCCTCTCTGAAACCTGGGCTCCTCTGCCTAACACCTGGACTTCTCCCGAAGGGCAAGCACCAAAACGTTCACTCTCTTAGGGACTCATGAGAGGTGTTTGCTTTACACAATGGTAACCTAGTGGGTGCACCACAATCCACGGAAAGCAACAGCCAGACTTCTGTACCTGAGAGAGCTGAAGTGGATGCTGTGGGTCTGTGACCCACCCAGCAGGACATTTCAGACATCCTTCCCTGCTACCTTTGATTTGGGACCACCATACCATTCTCACAAGACCAGATACAGAGCACAGCAGGAGAGCCTGACTCTGTGTATAAGCCAACCCATT